GGAAGGCAAAGTGCAAAACAACTTTGAAGAAACAAACAGCAATTCTCAGAACTCCAGCGGTAAGTGTGTTCACTCCCTCCTGCTGTTGCTTACCACATCCCTCTCCAGAGCAGGATTCAGCTGTGATCGGTGATTGTTTATATATTTGGGATACCTTCTTTAAGCTTGCAGGCAGCTAGCCTTCCTGGGGTAGTGCCCTCTTCTCAATCCTCCCCAGGTTCCTGGCACTCCAGAGCCTGTAAAAAAAGATGATGTGGGGATCCTGCTCCCAAAATCCACGTACTTCAGCACAGATTTTTCAATGGGGAGCAAAGATGTAGAGAAAGGGGAATATGGATGGAGATAAAGCAGTACTCATTCTTTGTCTGTGCATCAGTGAAGTCCTTGTGAAGCAAAGCCATTCGCAGCAAGCAAGAGAAGTTTGAGCGCTATGAGTAGAACAGCAGTTTGCATATTACAGTGATGCTAAATGTGGCAGTTTATTTACACATCGCTGTAACCGGAGTCCAGCTGTTTGCTACATGGAGGTCACAGCATATCGGATGTGCAGGTGTGGGACCAGATTACGTGTGCCAGGAGGAATTCAAATTTACCCCACTTCTGGAGTTTCCTTTGAGTTTTAAGTCCAAGTGGTAGTAACTAAACATAACCACTGGCCTAGACAATTTTGTGTAGGTACACCATTTATAGAGTTTTCTTTGCAAGATTTTTATCCTGCCAGTGTATCCCCCTGCCTCCAAGTGGGACACTGCCATTCTCTTATGCTGCCTAATTGGAGCATAACAGACAGACCAGATGAAATGTAATTTCGGCATCTTGATGCAGAGATAAATAACATGCCAACAGAACAGGCTGGCTTCCCTCCATTCCCCATTCAAGAGTACCAAAACGTGGTGTTTGCAATGCCGCAACCTGGAATGGACAGGTAAGGGACGGGATTTCTCCCTGGAGCAGATTACACAGCATATGTTGTGGGGGTTTATGTCTGCCTCTGAAGCAAATAAGAAGGGGCTTTCTGGAACCATGTTGAAAAGGAACGAAGTGGTGTTGGAAAACCCACGAGCAGTAGCAGAGTGGGTGATAGTGAATGGGAAAAAAGTTGTTTGTTATTAAAATACTGCGTATTTTGTTTTGGAGAACAATCCTGTACTAATCCAAGCATTCACCACAATTACAGCTGTTCATTCGGGGACAGAAAAACCTAAAGAAAAGAGGTGTAAGCAGAACCCATCAGGTGAGCTTGTCTCTGTGTTTCAGGCACTTGTACTCTTTAGTCCTGTTCCACTTGGGTAGCAGCAGTCAGGAGTCCTTAGGGGCTGGCCAAGTCTATCTTCAGTCAGCCCAACCAGGCTGTTAGACGTGACACAAAACAGGGTAGTTCACTGACTGCCAAGAGTTACTAGCCTGACTGGCTCCTCTGAAAGCGGCCACTTGCCTCTCAGCAGGTCTGCTCCTCATGTCTTGTCTGGTGTGGGTAGTACGAGCGGTTTGTCTGAAGGGTTTCAAAGCCTTTAAGTGCATGTCTTTAAATGCCAATATACCATTTGGGTTCCTGACTCCTCTGGGGCCCTTTGAAAGCAGCAGCCTTAGATTGTTCCTTTTTTACTCCTGTCAAGCCCTGTCTAGCCTACAGAGGAATGACAGAATTATCTTCCTTCGTATCAAACAGCTTGTCCGTAAAGCCAAGAAAGCTGCAGGAGGGGAAGTGAACCTCTAGCGTGGGAGGGGTCCAGGAACCACTGATAAGAAGCACACACAACAAAAGAGTGGCTGTATTGAATAGTCCAAGACTTTTGTTCTGTCTGAACTGCTATTGAATACTGACCCATTGTTGCTGTGACACATCTCACAGATTCTCCCTGCCATCTCCTTGTACCAGCTCACATCACACTCATCCTCCTGAATCTGTTTCTATCTGAACTGCAACATTTAAAGCACATGAGTAAAAGCTCACTGTAAAAATCAAAACAAAGCCAGAAATTCTTACAAATTGAGTAGTGAGTTTCATATGATTTGCTCGTTTTATTTCATTGTAAGTAGTGTTTCTGTCTGCACCACATGTATGGTCAGTTGATTTTAGTGGCTTAGTCTAGGGCCTGGCAGGTGGCAGGGGAGTTGCAAGGTGCTCACCTCAACTTTTGTTTGAGCCAGGAAACCTGAGGAACTTGAGTGAGCTGCTTAGGACTGGCTTGAAGGGAGTTGGGCTCTGGTTGGAAGCAGTTCTTTTCTGCATTAGGCAGCTGACACATTCCTCAAAGCCAGACTGGTGCATGGGGATGTATAAACCTCTTCCCTTTTCCCCCTTATCCGTGCCGCATCCTCTTTTCTTCCTCAGCCTGCTTTCCTCCCTGACTCCATCTTTGTGCTGCTTCCTGTGTGTCCCATTCAGTGCTCTTTTCCAGCTCTTGCACCAAGCCATTTCTTCTCTTTTGTTTCTTCTTGTTCTCAGGAGTCAGTCTGAATGTTCTCATTGATAGCAGCCTGAGTGAACATCGCCATGTCCACTACAAAAGGCACTGGTGATTAGAGAGGCCACGGAAAGCTCTGCGGGCATCTGTGTGCTTGGGTGTCCAAGCAGAGCTCTCAGTAACTTCCTCTTTGAAGAGCTGGCATGTCCTTACCTCCCCATTTTCCTTCTTTCCATGGCTGTGTTTCAGTAGGTGGGACAAACTCTGTGTGGCTCAGCGTTCCCATGTGTGATGTGAACTCTTGGGAGTAATTCTGGCATTGTTGGCTTGGCGTCTCTTGTGCTCCAGCCAGCAGATTTCACACAGGCAAGGAAGCAGCTGGTGATAATGTGGTTGAGAATGACAGAAGGACGGACACTTCTGTCCTCCCCAGTCCCATCTGCTGCTTATCACCAAACTCCTGCTGCTGTAAAGAATAGTCCCCAGGTTTGGGAGGTAAATGTAGGTCCCAGTTGAGCAGCCTGGGAGCTGCGTGGCTTGGCCTTGTTAAATGCTTGATTCCCTGTACCACTTGCTCTTTGTGGATGTGAGTTTTGTGTCACAGGCTCAGTTACAGCGATATCAAACAGAGCAGCAGTATTTTTTTAGGCTACTCAGCCAGGCACATTATGCTCTTTTCTTTCCCTGTGTCACCATCCTGACCTGCAGTGCCACAGACCGCTTCGTGTCTGGAGTGAGGGGGAGGACAAGCAGAGCAGAAAGGTCAGCAACTAAAGCCACCTAAAGTAGACTTGGATGCGATGCTGTAGGGAGCCCTAAGTGGGAATAAGACAACCAGAAGGGAAAATGTTGGATTTCAGCTGTCTCCTCCCTGTGCACAGCCCCAGTCCTTGTCATAGTGAATGCAGGTACCTGATATGCTTATCTGAGTAACCTGGCATCGTACTGCCCATGACAGTTCCTGTTCTGCATGGCAAACAATACTGTGTGTCTGTGTTTGAGTCCGTCTACTAGCAGAAGGTCCTTTTCCCAGCAGGGCATGATGGAGCCACAGAATAGATGGAGAAGGGCTGTTTAGCTGCCGTCCATCTCATGACTGGGAGAATGACCTTTGTATTAATGGGAAATTTTGATGAAACCTGGAAGTTTCACAGTGCTTAAAAAATAGTATCTGCTGAAATGTGCAGATCGCTTCCTTGTGCCGCTTCTGGAGTGCAGGCAGCCAACGCAGAGGTCCCAAGTCTCGTGAAGCTTGTGATTATTCACTGCTGAACTAAGCAAGGTCCAGAAGACAGTGACGTGACCTGATCCCGAAGGAATTGGCTCAATGCGATGCATGAGCTGTTAATCATCTCAGATGCTGTAAAGCTGCTTTGAAGAAAACACTCCTCGGTGTGGTGGTCATTTTGCTGAGGCTTGACATGTGCAGGGTTTTTCTGTACTAAATTCCAAAAAATACTTGAAGGCCAGCTTGTGAAATACTCTTCTTGCAAAAGTTAGTGTTTGTCAGCCTGAGCACGGTAAAGAAAAAGCCCTGGAAAGGGGCAGATACGTGTATCATGTTCAATAGCGAAGGTGGCTGCCTCCCTCTTCCACCGTGCGCAGCTGGAGCGGGTAGAGCGGCGCTTGCCTGGGGCTCTGCCGACTTGGCCCGCGGTGATGTGGTGCGTAGAGCCACAGCTGTCCAGCCTTCGTCTGGTTTGGATGCAGTGGATGACTCCTTAGTAAGAGGAAGAATCTGCGGTTACACCGCCTGTAGGCCAAGAGGGGGGAAGGAAATTGTGAGACTTTAAGAAGAAAAAAAACCAAAGCAAACAGGAAAAAAAAATCTTCAGTTTAATACCTTAAAATACAGCCATCGAAAGAAAAAAACTAATTGAAATTGACAGTATTTATTGATGTCTAAACTTGCTAGATGTTATGAATGTGAAAGAGACAACATTTAAAATTATGTAGGGAATTGGGAAATGTTTTTAACTTTCAAGGTTGATTTAAGCTGTATAAATACGTCTCAATTTCATCTGCTGCATTAGGTAACTTACTGTCATAAGTTCCAGTGGAACAAATTTTAGCATTTACAGTTTTTAAAATGTCAGTGCTTTTCATTCATATTTACCCAGGGAAGCTTTTCTTTCCAGCAGTGTTTATTTCAGACTGGGTAGAGGGGCAAGAGAAATATCTTCTTTTTTGAATCAGTTCGTGCCAAGCTGAGGTGAGAGTGAGACCAAAAAAAATTAATTTCCTCCTTTCGATTTAGAAGTAAAAATTGTTGGGAAAGACTGAGAAGTGCCAGTTCTCAAAATTTCAAGGACATAGGACCAAATTTTAAACACACGCTTAGTGGGATTTTCAGAAATTACATACTAACAAGTCTGATCTCATATGCGCTATTTCTTTTTAGTGAATCAGGTCTAAGTGCAAAACGTTTTTCAGTAGTGCACTTTATTTTCCGACGTATGCAGCACGCTTAAGATAGTTATATTTAGCTAGTGAAAATGTACATAAGCAGCATCCTACAATGTATTAGGGATCCTAATTCGCATCCAGTTGTAGCGTGGAACTATTTCAAGCTGAAGGATAATTAGAAATGTCTCATTCGCCACTTGCCACAAAGAAACAGTATTTTTAGCGTGTGTTAAGCAGGGTAGTCTCTTAAGCAGAAATAGGTAGTCTGTCTTTCTTGCTTAGCAACTGAGCAGAACTAGCCTTTAGTTTTATGGAAAGCAGCAAAAAGGCAGAGTGCAAATCAGTGTTAAACTCTTGATATAAATCTCTTCTGAAGCTTTGTTTGGTGGTGATGGGAGCAGACATGATGTCTGCTCGAGACCCCTGTGCAACTCCTGTTGCAGTAACGGGAGTTCAGGATGCCCGGTCCCGCAGTGCACCCGAATGGAAGGCCGGACTAAGACACCCAGCGGGGGCTGCTGCCAGACTTCTGGGATGAAGCAAATTGCATCGTTATGTTGAGACTGTTGTCAGCATTACTGTGTGTTCATGAGACTTGAGTGGATGGATGATCTCGCTACAGAGTAAGGATGTCCAGTCCTCAAACTGCCAGCTAGTCCAAAAAAGCTGGTTTGCAGTGAAAGCGCAGGTGGTCATGGTGCACGTATGGGAGGAGTCAGCTCGGTGTGCTGCAAACCCTGGGGCCTTCCTCCTTCGCAGTTGTTGGCCATACATCCTCTTCTGCTCTTTCTCTGTAGTCCAGCGATCATATAGCACATCCAAATCTGGTTGGATTTCTTCTGGGAAGACATGACTTTTATGCTAGGATTTTTGGTGGGTGAATACAGCTTTAGTGCTTGGGGCATAATAATGCTCGATTGTTGATTACAGTCTGATATTAGCACAGCCAGCCCCCTACACCTCTGCCTCCTGAGATGCACCTAACTGTCTTGCAGGTTATGTCAGCTGGACCGGCACAAAATACAAATCTCGTTCAAGTGATTCATCTTTTGGTAAATCCCTTTCTCATCTGTTGGTCGGTTTGCAGACAGTACAAGCCTGCTACTGCTGCCTTTCCATTGAGCTGGGAGGTCCAAGCCTGCTAATGGCCAAGTTTGAGGAGTGAGGAAAGGGGGGAAGTTGTCATCATGTGAGCTCCCACGTTGTCATAACTAAGCTGGGCAGAGCACCGGTAATGCTGACCAAGGGGCAACACAACTGCGTGTTCATAGAGCTGCGTTTTTCAAAGCAGCCTAAAAATGCTGCGCCCCGATGAAGGATTGCCATCTGAGTGCAGTTCTCACCAGTAGAAGAAGAGTAACATGGGGAGAGGCTTCAGTTAATAAAGTGTCACTTTGCTCCGTCGGATAAATATGAGTCGCTGTGTCCACTAGGCATTTGCGTGGAATTGAGGTTTCCAGGAATGAACTGTTTGTTTCTGGTGCCACGTTTATTCAAGTTGTTGCGGACTTGTCATGTTGAACAGGCAACTTGTAGACAGGCAGAAAGATATCTGGGTTAAAATAGCCACTCAGCAGCAAGTCTCTGTGGGCGAAATGCTGCCAATTGCTCAGGAGCTCTGGGACACCAGGAGGGACGTTGAGACAATACGTATGAAAGACATTGAGGCAAGAGTGTGAGCAGTCAGCAAAACTGGGAACGAACAGCCAGTGATCCGAGCTGTGGATTGCAGTCTTCAAGCACAGATACTGTGCTGGGCTGGGGCTGGACAGGACTTGGCAAAAAGGGTCTGAGAGACTGATACACGGGCAGAAAAAGGTGAACTGCTTCAGTTTTGCCTGGAGAATCTGTGGAGTGAAAGAAATCCCTAAAGCAAGTCAAATTATCATTAATCATTCAAACTATGACACTTTGGTGACTGTTCTCTGAGTAGCTGGCTTTAGTGGAACTGACTGTGCTGAGGCAGGGACGTTACAGTGCATGGATAACAAAATGGCCCATAATATAAAGACCAGAAAAATCCCAACAGTCCTTCTTCACTGAAAAGACCATAAGCAGCAATGTTTAGCAAGTGGCCTGAACGTGTATAGGAAGTCAAGCGTAATGAGGAGACTGCATTAGCACTGCTGACTGGAAGGCAGCCAGAGGCTATGTTGAGAATCCGTTGCGGTGTATTAAGTGTTGTATGCCACTGCTGTGTGCCTCCTCCAGATCAAGCTGACTTCTGGGGGGATGGCAAAATGTCGGGTTTTGGCCCTCAAAAGCTTACTTGCCTCTGGGGTGCTGAAAGAGCCTTTTAAAGCCTGAAGCCATGGGCCGGTCCAGTGGGCGTCCATGTGTTCACTGATTAAGTACAACGCTTCCCAAAGCGGAGGCAGAGAGCACAAACAGCGAAAGAATGGTACCTAGAGGAGCCTGCCCTGTTCAGCTGCTCAGTAGGACCAGATTAGGAACCTTTTTCAGTGAAGATCTTCCAGATACAGACCTCATCAGCTGCAAATAGCACTCAGTGCAACGTTGGGTAATAGAGATGTGTTAAGCGATCAGCAGCGTTCTGTATCCAGCTGGTGCCTTCCATGCCTGCCCTTTCCATAGCACTGTCTATTCATGTCTTTGCCAAGCATCATCCATGCCTTCATCTTCATTCCTTACTGGCTGGCCCTGGCATCTGAAGCCCTCTTCAACAGCTCAGGTCCTCATCATGTTGAAATATTTAGCACAAAGGCTTGCTGTGCTTGACCTGTGCGGTTAATGAATTAAGTTTTCCTTCCAAGCAAACCAGTCCAAGTGTGTCAGCCCTGAGAGCCTCATTCATCGATGCATCAATTCATAACTTCGGACCTGGGACCGTTCTGTAAATGCCCTGAATTGATGACTGAATCTTTAACACTAATGGTTTCTTCCCCTCTGCAGGGGTTTGACACTAAAGGACCTCACCTGGAAACCGTAGGAAACTGCACAGGGTCTGAGGTGCTGAGAATCACTGCTTCTGCTCCGGTGCACCGCGGGGTGGGTGCAGGCGGCCCCTGGTTGACCAAGGGCTCGTTGAGCATCCAGGGTTTCTGTTCCTTTCAGACGCGCCTTAAAGAGAGGCAGTCTGCAAGGTGTGCTCGGCAGAAAATGCGTATTCTCAGCCTGACGTGACATGCACTGCTTAGGAACTCTCTCCTTTGGCATACCATCCAGTGGGGCTAAAACACCCTGTTTTTCCTTCCCAGCTTCAGTTTGAGGAATCTGTAGAGGGAATCTGGGAATTTGCATCTGGGGCCCCAGAAAAAGCATTTGTAAAGGGTTTCTTGCCCCGTTAGCTTTTCTTCTGCTGGCCCTCCCCACTTGACTGTTTCCATTACTGTAGCATAGGGTATGTGTTAAAATCTCTGGACATTTCAAAATGGGAAGGAAAGATGCAGATTCCTAGCCGTGAGAAACTTAGCAAGACACTGAGAGAGAAAATTCACAGCTGGACATGTCATAATTTGCGGTAAGCAGAGACCCCCATCCTGCCACAGTTAAATCTGGAAGTGCGGAATAAGGATAAGGATCAGTGAGCAGATAGGCAGAGCTGTGTAGCATGCAGCGAGGGCTCTGCCAATCTCAATATTTAAATCTCTTTCTTTTTTGCAGAAACCGCAAGTCCCCTGATTTCAAATCCTTTCCCGCTTTTACAAAGTAAGTGTGATGGATGTCTGTGGTGCGCAACGGCGGGGACTTCTACCCTGCAGCCGTGCTGGCCTGCCCTCTTAGCATTTTTCATGAATAAATGTTTTTTTATTATGAGACCAGGTGTCAAAAACAAAATGCCTCACTTCTGTGGCTCTGGTTTCCAATTTAAATGCAACAGAAATCCTTCAGGGTGTTTCTGTGCAGTATGTGGCTGCTAGACCATTTAGACTCACTTCTGGAGTTAAGTTTTGTGAAATATGCCAATAATACGTGTTCTGAGAGGCCAAGGTTTGAAGACTGAAAATGAATCTGTGTTTAAGTTACATTTATGCACAGGAAAACTTGTCTTTGTGGCTCGGCTCACTAAACACCTTTGCAGAGGCAATTCCCTTTGGCCTGAGAGCACAGATGAGAAATGGGAGCCCAGGACATGGTGGCGAGCAGGCAGGAGGGCAAGGAGAGCAGGTTTGGGATGGGCGGATGCAGATGGTCTCTGCTCGAGGTTCTGCCCCGTGTCCTTGGTGCTTTCAGCAGGCGGATCTTCTTCCTTTGCCTTACAGTGTGTTTGGTTACTGCTTGGCTTGCGTCTGGATTTTAGGGGTGATGCTGTCTGCGCCAACCTCGTAACCCAGGACTGCTGTCCCTTAGCGTAGGACGGCCCCGAGTGCTGCACCCTGAGCGTGGCCACGGTGGCGGAGGGCGCTTGTTCTTTCTCCCCTTAGGAATCTGAGAAAGAAGTGAGAGCTTTATTCAGAACATGAGAGTTCACGTTGGAAGAGAAATCAAATTAATGCCAATAAATTTAACAACCATGATGCATTCAGGACTCACCTTTTTAAAGCGTGCTTCATAGCACTTCTTTATGTAGCACCTCTTTTATTGTCTGAGACGGGTGGAAGTGGCAGAAGTCCCATTTTCAAGAAACTTCCACTTATTTTGGTGTGATGGTGTTTTTCTAGGAGACTGCTGCTGAGTCGAGTGTATTGTTTCATCGATTTGTGTCAAAGGTATGGGAAGATTAAAACTAAAGCCAATGGAAACCTTGGGCGAGAAACACTGAGAAGTTTCCCTTCCAGTTCTTCTGCATTTGTTTTTCATCAAAACGGGGACAGAAGTGTTGAAATGTGGGTGCTTTCTGTTGAGGAGAGCTGCCTGGGGGCCTGCTCCCTGCGCGGCCATCGGTCGCTCGGCTGGCTGCTGGGTTTCGCTCACGCGCAAGCAGCTCAGGGTGTTTTCTGTTGAAACTTTCTGTTAAAAGCTCTCAACTCATGTTCGCTCCTGGCCTCAAACCAGGCTCTGCTATTTTCTCTGGCTTAGATGTGGCAATGAGAGTTAACATGGGAATTAGAGTGATTTATTTAACCTAAGCACAAATGCTGTTTTTTCTCTGTCTTGGCTTATACAGCCTGCTGCCTTACTCCGGAGCCTTGTTCACTGGGTATATAAAGCACTAATAAAAGTGTCTAATAATAGCCCTGGGGAAAGATGTTTTAAATTGTGCAACCAACTGTGAGTATTAGTTCTGTGTGGCTCAAGAGACTGAAGAGGCTTCAGCAGCTGCTCGTGCTTTAGGTTTCTGTAAAGGTGTTTTCAGAGAGCACTTGAGCAACCAGTAAGGGTGACGTGATAGTGTGTCTTGTTCAGAGCAGAGGGGGACCTGGCTCGCAAAGCAGGTTGGTTTTTCTGGAGAAGGATGCTTTTGGGGAGAAGGAGTGCTTTGTGCTCGGCAGCCAACACCCAGTGCACCACAGAATAACATCTCTTCTTTAGGGCGGAAAGCTCTTCGGTGCTTGATAGGAGAATGAAATGCCATTGCTCGGGGATGCTGCGGTGCCTCAGACGGAGCTTGCAAGAGGCTGCTGGAAGTGCCCTGGGAAGGGTGTTTGCAGTTCCAATGGCACTGCTTGCTTGCAGCAGATTTGTTTGTGCTCTCCACTACTCAACCCCTCGACGATGTGGGAAAACTCGGGAATGAGAGTCAGACTCCACTGAGATCGGCTGGCTGTAGAGCAGCCCTTTTCTGCTGGCAGACAGGGACACGTTCAGAGTGATTTCCTCCTCCTTCCAAATTTTCAAATATTTTGCCTCCGAAGAGCCGTACAGACTCAGGATCCTGGCTCAGCACAGTGCAGTCCTCAAGTTGCTGGAGAGAGGGTAGCACTGCCGCTTCAGAGGTGGCCATCTCCGACCGCTGGGGTCTGCTCCTCTGCATGGCAGGCAGCGGAAGGAGCGGTAGCACGGCGACAGCTGGCACGGCTCGAGAGAAAAACCTGCTGGGTCTGTGCCACCAGCTCTGAGTGGAAGGGGACAGACAGGGAGGAAGGAGGGATCGGAGCAGGAGGTAGACAGGGATGGTGGGTGGACAGATAGCGGGGGACTGGCGTAGGCGCTGTGCAGCCGGTCGCCTGTCATATGCTAAATGTTGTACCCTCTCCCTGCCTTCTCTGGTGCCGTGCAGACAGGTCTGGCCCACACATTTGCCATTTCATGCACGGCTTTTCTGCTGCCAAATTTAGGCTACAGGATTGCAGGCGGCTTCTGAACGTACAGCAACAACACAGAGACAGAGAGACAGCGGGGCTAATGTGGCAGCCTGAGCTCTCTGAGGGTCTGATTCCTGATGTTGTATCCCTTTGTGAAGACTTGGAGCCTGTTTCCATCCTTTCTTCAGCAAAGGCTCTTGCGTGCAGCGCAGCCATGTGGCAGAACGTGGAGGACAGGAGATGCCCAGAGCCTTGCTTTGCAAGGCTCCCAGCGCAGCAGCGTGTGTCGGGGCTCAGGCAGAGCCATTTCCCTGTGCCTGCACCGGCTCTCCAGCTTTTCCTGCTACTGCAGGCAAGTGCATCGTAGCTGTGGCTGAATATGAACCCACGGGAGAGCTCGAGATGTATCCCAAGGCCTGCAGAAAATGCAGCATCTCTGACTGCTGCCCTGGCTTCATGGCTCTGGCCTTGGCTATGTGAAAAGCTTGCTTTCTGGAGGTGGGTAGAGGAATGATAGCGGCCTGGCATTTCATCCTCTGAGACATTCAGCAAAGCGTGAGAATGCTGGGCTACAGGTTTAGAGTTGAGCGTTGCAGGATTTTAATAGCTTATCTGTTAATGTGAAGTTTTTGTAGGACGCAGTAGTGGCAGTCGGCAGTAGACAGGCCACAGTCTGCTACGTGCCAACTGCAGGATCTTGTGCCTAGGTGACAGCCTGGCCAACAAAGCAAGAGCAACCAAAGCTCAGGATTTCAGACTGGGAGTACTCCGAAGGCAGCTTCGAGCTCTCTGCCTGTCTCCTTCCACCTTTCGTGGCTGTGTAAGGTGAGCTTGGGGCTGTTTTTGCACCCTCCCTTCCCATCACCCAGCTGCGTTAGGTTAAGCAGTCGTTACTAAGAGTGAGCTGTGGAAACAAGGAGAGGTAAGGGAAAGCTTCTCATGCAGCCTGGTGAATTTATCCTCCACTCCCTTGAGATACAGGTGTGAAGGAAGGTTGTGTGGATGCGGCAGCCCTGCATGCCCACTGGGAATTGGTGGGGTCTTGGGATGATGTAGCCCACAGCCTGAGCAAGCCAAGCACACAGCAAGAGACCAGCTGGCAGCAGCATGTGTTTAGCATCTGCCCAGGGGAATGCAAGTAGAGGAAGCTTGGAGAAGGCAGAGCACCCTCCTCCCCACCCATGCCAAGGGAGCAGAGCTAGAAAGTTCACAGCACCTGGCATTGCTAAGAGGCCCATGGGCCTAAGGGAGAGCCTGTCTGAGCACGTGGGGTAAATGGCTGGTTTTTTCTCATCGAAAGGAGGTATTGTTGCTCCTGCCACAACTCCCACCCCCTCTGATGTGGAGCAGCAAGAGGAATTGGTTCCTGAGAAGCAATGAAGCGTTTGAGGAGGGGAGCGAGAAGGTTTCCAGCAGCGTGAGACAGGCGGGCTGGGCAGGCCTGCTGCAGGTTGGAAGTCCCTGAGCCATTTCTGAGCTGGCTGCGCACCCGCCCTTCCTGCTTTGCTCGTACATAAGCCCGTCTTGGCCACCCGAAACAACTGGGGCTGTTGGGGAGCACAGGTGTCCTCGGGGGCTTGGTGTGGGCAGCACAAATGGGTCCCAGCTTTCTTTGTACTGCTACCAGCAAAGCCGAGAGGGAAAGGAGAGGTTCGTTGATTAGAGCAGTCGTGGGAGGACCTGTGGGCCCCTTGCTGAGTTCAGACCACCTGGTGGAGAACAGATCCCTTCTGGGTGCTGTAAAGCTGAGCTGAAAGGCTGAGCGAGGGAGAGGAGAGCAGAAATGCCCCCTGGGGAAGGACAAGCAGAGGGCCTGCGGTGGTGTGGAGGGGGCTGTGCCCCCAGGAAGGAGAAAGGGGCCCAAGCGTGGCTCCCAGGGCTGTTCAGAGCAGTTTTAACAACTTTTCCAGTTAATTCTGCCTTTAAGTTGCAAGCAGAACTCAAAGGGAGGGGGATTTACTTGCTGTGCGTACCAGCCCAGATGAGCAGTTCTTTTCCAGCGGTGGCTTTTGCCTGGTTTCAGATACAGATTGCCTCTTTCTTCTCTCCACCTTCCAGATCCCTCTCCCTTTTCTAGCACTGATGCATCCCACCCTCCTTCCCGCCGGCCTGCCTGTTCCCAGCTCTCTGCGCTGTGGAGCACAAGGGGCTTAGAAGCTGAAATCTCAGAAATATGAGGGTTGAGAAAGCCCTGGGAAGTAAAGCAAGTTCACTCATTCCCACGGGGATTCTGCACATCCTCCCCAGCATCCCTTCCCTCCTCCCTGGGAAAGACTTTGAATTGTTGGATGAATGTTATTTATTAAATTTAATAAATTTATTTATAAAATTTAAATTTTATCCCTAGTTTTAACTCATTTTCGTTTGTGGTAAACTTTAGGCTTCTATGACTCTTTGTCTCAAAAGTGTTTAGAAAACGTTAGCATTTTCCGAATGTGAAATTAGTTTTTGAAAGTAGACAGTGGCTTTGTTTCCCGAGATGGACATTTCTGAACAGAAGGGGAGGCTTTTGGAAATGGGATGAAAATCAACAGGATTTTTTTTGAGAAGAATCACAAACGAGAGACTTTTCAGAGCCACTGAGTGCACTGCGTACACAGTACGTTGTAGTGGCAGAGGGAGAAGCTTGCGACGAAGAACTGCGGAGACCTTGATGGTCACTGCATGATGGATGGAGGTGGGGAGAACCCAGAAAAGAGTGGTCAGGAGTGGAGGGGAGTCAGGCAAGGGGAGAGCCGGAGGAAAGACAACACAGCTTTATGGTGATAAAATAGCTGGGAATATAACGGGAGGAAGGTAAAGCAGCTCAGCGAGACAAAATAAGCTGGGAAGGAAATGTGAGGATGCAGTGAAACAGGAGAGAAAAATGCACGTGAGAAATGTGCTGCTTGGAGAGCGCTGGATGTATGTGAGTGATCTGCGTCCCAGTGAGGCGCCCCATAACTGCGCTCAGGGGAAGAGTTGTTCTGGTGGCTACTTGGAAGCCTGCTTCTAGGGGAGTCGTGGAGTTTGTGTGCTTGTCTGGGAGCAGAGGAGAGCCCTTGGACTGCAGCAATGAAGGATGGATTGCTCCGCCACCACTTTCTCTGGCCAAGGTTACTGCAGGCAGAGATGGCAGAAGGGAATCCATGTGCCTGCTTATGTTTAAATGGCACACGGAGACCTGAAAGTGTCCCAGGGAACCGCGGTGTGACATCTCTAAATTGCAAACTTTCTGAAGCACCTGAGTTGTACAGCATGTTCTGTTCTCCCGACTCTGTCGCAGGGGAAGGGGCTCCAGCAAAGCAATGGGGCAAAGCACAGTGGTAGCTTCGTAAGCTGCCCTGGCTGCAGCACCGGACCTCTTCTGACCCTGCCAGGAACCAGTCGGCGACATTCAGCAGGCTCTTTGAAGTGTGACTTCTTTCATTAGATTAATCAAATGGTAATTTTGACGCTTGAAGGGGGAGTCACCGCACTTAGTTTGAGACATTTCCATCTGAGCAGTCTAGGCTCCATAAGCAGCAGAGGCAAGTAGGCGCAGCTGTAACACAAGTCATCGGACATTGAAATATGTATCTAAGAGGGATGGTTTGCACCCACGTGGGGTCTTCTCTATGATAATTACAAAAGGAGTCTAAACAATTAGATTACGTTGTACCGCTTGCGGCATTTTGCCACAACTGACTATTTCACTACTGATGATTTCTACAGAAACAGCCAGTCCATGCTAATTCTCCCAGTCCTCTTAAGTGTGCCACTCAGCTGCCAAAGTCTTCCCTTTTTTTCACAAGCACAGTTACTTAAGTACACTATTTCCAAACTTCCTCACTACAGCAAAATACAGGAATAGCATCACAAGAAAATACAGTAAGTTAAATAAAGCATTGAGCACAGCTCCTCCAGATGGAGCTGGCTCCATCTTTTCAGAGGGCTGTAGGTTCTGTGGGAAAGGCACAGCAGGGCGTTTAACCTTATGGCATAGAAGTATAGCTTATATGAACCGCTTATGCTCTCTTTTATGTTTTTCCTCGCAGCTTCCTGTAGCCATCTGATGAATTCTGGGTTTTGCTACCTGAGACAGACATCTTACAGATTATAGCCAAGTCAGCCTTGTGCTTTCCTGTATTTTGGTTCTTCCATCCTGGATGCTGGTGCTTTTGCTTATGTGCCATAGATTTCTTAAGTTTCGTCGATGCAGAATATGTTTTTCCCTTCGAACGTAGATACATATTTCTGGTATATTGTAGCAATAGACCTTGCTCTGTGTGTGTGCCAGGCATTTACATGCGAAGTTGTGTATATACCAAATGCTTGCATTTGTCCATTCTCCTGTTACGAACCAAAACGCCACAGCATAAATGGTGGCAGTGTGCTGGTATATCTGGAGGTATAGAAGCAAACTGCAATGTTAACGTATTTCAGCCACTGTAGTTTGATATTACATCTGTCAACAAATGCACTCGACTAATACTGTTTAAACGAGCAATTGCAAACATTTGCTATTAGGTTAATTCAGTGGAAAAATGCACTTTCAACATACTTGTTAGAACTAAACGTATCTTTCAGCTCATGAGGGAGCTCTGCACCCAGCTCTTTCCTGACTCCAGCTCATCCATATTACTCTGGCAACATGGCTCTCCTGCTCTGCTCTCAGCCTGATGGCACAGCTCTGATTTCTGTGCTTCTTCCCCTCCACCTCTGCTTAACCCTGGCGACTTGCTGCCGCCGAGCCCAGTGGCGCTCACCGTTCCCCACTCTCGCGGCACTTGTTGACAGCCACAAAAAACCCAAGCTGAGTTCCCCCGTGGCACTTCTCCATGCCTCAACTTCCGAGCAACAGGACTTTTCACAACCCGATGCTCCTTGTCTTACTCAGGAAAGGCAGCAGAGACTGGATGTAAAATTAATTCACCATGCTTTGCTTTCAGACTTAAAAAGAACAAGGATATGCTTAAAACAGCCTGCAGCAGGCATGGGCTATTAAGCCCCGGTCAGTGTGTAGCCTCTCAAACCTTTGCGCAGGTTCACTGAGGTCCCCCACGCACACAGGCGGGCGCTTCGCTCTAGTGCGCGAGCTGTCCCTCCGCCATCCCGGGCCTTCTCGTGGCAGTAAAGTGAAGCATGTGGATAAATGCCTGACCCCAGCCCCGGAAGCAGACGTGCCCTAGCGCTGTCCCGAATCACAGCCCGAGCCCTGCGGGTTCAGTTCTAAGGAGCTGCTGTGACGTGCACACGTGGGCTGAGGTGACGAGGACCAGGCCCTAAGGTGCTGCCCCGCTACTGTACAAACTGAAGTATGCACATGTGCTGCTTCCCTGCATACTCTGTATAATTCTTCTGAACTGATTTCTCCCAAACAGAGCCTTACACCTGTGGAGCTTGTGGAATCCAGTTCCAGTTTTATAACAATCTCCTGGAGCACATGCAGTCCCATGCAGGTAAGCTGGGCACTTCGACTCGCTATAAGCGGAGAATTAAATTCTGCGCTGATGCCTGATGTTGACCCCGTTGTGTGTCAATAGAGCTTTCTGTGCTCACGGTTTCCAAAGCCCCAGTAATTTCACCTGCAGCAGAAAAGATACCCAAAGGCGCATAGCAGTGGCTGCAACAATGCAAGGCTCAGGGTGTATCATAAATATTACTCCTTTTCGTAGGAAGAGAGGAAACGTGCCATGCTAGCACAGTGCACATCGAACTACTCATTCCCTTTATCCAAAGGTATTTAGGGAACGCTCATTGCATGAGCATTAATGGGTCACTCCTACAGCAGATTAAATCCCTCCTCCTGCAAAAAGAGTAGTTCTCATTGAAGCAAACAAAGCAAAAATGCTTGCAGGGCAGCAGAGCCTTTGCCTACACAAGTCCTTTTCCGTGCTTGTGTCTCCTGGAGTTCTGCAAAGGACTGAAATGTGTTCTCAGAAGAAGAATTTGCCATTTCATCAGTTGTGTTCATTTCCTTCTCAGCTACGTACAAAGCAAAATTCCGAGGAGTAGTTCCACTAGTTTGTTTCTAAGCCACCTTTTTTGTTTTCTATCTCAATACGTAAGAGACGATTTTGAAATGTCAAAGCCAAAGCTGTTTCAAAGACAGCATTCAGAATATTCAAAAATGTAGAAACAGGGAGGGTTTCATATTGGCAGAATTTTTTTATTTTTTTCCCTCTTGAATGAAAATTCAAGTGAATTAACACAGGTTTACAAATTAATTCACCTTTGACAGACCTGTGTTCTCCAACAGACAGCTGCTCTGTTGAGATACACATTCAGTGCTTGCATTCGCCCTCGCTTTACAGGTCAGCCCTGTGTAGAGTGGCACGGAAGGACAAGCGGCTTGAGGAAAAGCATACTTTCCGTTCTGTAACAGTAATTCTAATCAAAGTTCTTATCTTGTTCTGTGTTTTAGTTTTAGTCCTAATTTTAATGAGTGTCCCTTGAGTTCTTCATCCATGCGGTTCCTCCGTTCCAGTTCAGGTCTCATTGGCGAATCTTAGTGCAGGCTTTGTGTGTTGTTCAGCAGCTGCTTTATTTATCATCTTTGTAATGCTATGAATAGACATTTAGGGTGATTTTCTGTAAGATGGTATGAGTTTTGTGGATGTTATTTTCTGTTAGAGCATAAGCTGGTTAATGTGGAGTAGCTGGACTTCACGTTACGCTGAGGAGCAGTGGAGCTCCGCTCAGGATAGTGGCTGCCGTCCCTCCATGGTGTCGGGGTCTGTTCTTGCCGTTTGTCAATGGCAATTTCTGCTTGCCTCCAAGCTGCGTCCTGACCGTCCTGTTCCTTGCTCTGGTCTCTGGTACTGAAATGCAGCATTTTGAGTTACAGCTCTTAGTGACACTGAGTAGAGGAGCTGCAGAGGAGGGACCGAGGCTGAGGTGTCAGAGGGGAGAATGGCAGTTCACTGGCAAGGTGTGAGCTGGTGAACATTTTAAGCTAGTGCTGTCTGCAGCTTCTTCCTCCTCTCTTCTTTACAAATGACCTGTGGTCTCTGGGCTTGTTCACCTGGGTTACTTTGGACACAGAACAGGGCTGGAGCAGGTATCAGTGATCTGGCTCATGTAATGCCAGCAGAGATCCCCTCTCTCCAACGCAGGATTACTCCTGTTAACCTCTGTATTTTTTCATCTCTCCCTGCTCTGTTTGTAAGTCACTGTCTTCTGCTTGGCTGCTTCCCCCCGAATGTTTCACTGGTGCAGTGACAACAAGCTTGTCCGCGTCTTCTTTAAGTGCTTTCTCCCGGCGTCACGGCGGCTGCCCCCTGTGAAAGCAGCCGTCCCTGCTCTGGCACCTCTGTGCGCGGTGCTTGCCTGTCCTGTGCTCACGCCTCTTCCTCTGGAGGGAACAGCAGCCCTTCCTCCAGGTCTGTGCAGCTGGGGGTGAGCGACGTGGGATTCGCTGCTGTGGGATGAGGGCGAAACAAAATGAAGAGGTGTGAAAGCTACAGACAGCTCTGATGGCTGTCCAGTTCTGGATATTGTCCTTAAGCAGAGCAACAGTGGAGATTACACAGGACTTGCAGTTACTCTGGTCGCAGTTTGGTGCCTTTTAGCCTGTCAGAGCTTGGGGATTTCCATATCCAGGAAACAGCATTGGCACAACATCTCCGAAGTCTGGGGGTGCAGTAGTCGGCAGAACTGACGGCATAGAAATCACATACTGGGGACACTGGCATAGTAGCTGTTTATACCAGTCCATATGCCTGGCTCAAGGAATGTTTCATTATGGGGATGCAGAGATACAAGAAGCCCATATGGGTCAAATACTCCCTCAGTTAATGTGTTCAGGAGTCCAGTTTGGTTTATCGTGTCTGGTGCAAAGGGCTAATCCCTTCCAACTAAGCGTGATGCATCCACTGAGTCCCTCTCGCAAGTGACTGAAGACAGGGAATGTGCTGCTGGCCTTGAGGAGCAAAAGCAGAGACATACTGGCTCTTGAGTCATTCAGAGGGCTGAGCCTGGAGGCTAGAAGGTAATAAGGAGAGATTATAGCTCCATAAAGCAGCTACACAACGAGAAGAAGCAATTAGAATGTAAATTGGAGGCTGAAAGGCAGAAATAGAACAGCAGAACACTAGGCAGAGGAATTTGTTCTGTAATTACACTGTACAATATACAGCTTTGACTCCCTTTAGAGTACTTTGTTCAGGTCGAGTGCTACCATATAATGCCCTTCCTGCAATCTAGAGCTAAAAAAATAAAGGACGAGTAGGCTGAACCTGGATTAAAGAATTGGCAGCATGAAGAGAAATTAAAGAACCATGATCTGTGTAGTTCACAGACTGCCTGATAAGGAAAATGAGGCTGAAATGCACAAATCTCATTAATGCCATATTGAATGCCAGTGGATATTTGTACATAATAAATCCCCTATTATTATGAAATAGATAAAGGAGTTGGGGGGATGAAATATAGAGGGTTTCTCCCCCCGCCCATCCCTCACCAAGACAAGGAAGGCCTGAAGCATGAACAAAGTTAGTAGGCAACATCCAGCATTTTCCTTTGCCTACCCGCAGATGTTTGGAGTTGAGGACAGTGGTGGCATTAGCTCAAGAGCAATTGGTCTAGGCAAATGCTGGGGGAAAAGTGATGTGTCATATCTGATCACTGGCATCCACTGGAGCACGTCCTGCTCTTCACGTCCCTTCCACACCTGCAAAGACCAACCTCTGGCTGCAGTCCTGAGCCTGGCAGTGCTCTGCAGGTACCAGCCATGACCAGGGAATTCTCAGGGCACATACAGTCCTCGAGGCAGTCCTAGGGTCTGCCCTGGTTCTGTCATAGCCTGGATGCTCTTAGGTATCGATGCAGTCTGTGGCCAGTGCAGTGCCCAGACCTAATAATAACTGTGCAGTCTGTGGCTGTTCATCAGCAAGGTTTGTGAATGCCCCAGCAGTTAACACGCAGAGCTGCTCAAATTTGAGAGGACTTGCTCGTAAGGAAGAGGGCACTGCAGTTTCACCACATCATTGCTTGTGTCTAGATCCTTGCTGGGCTCCCTTCTCTCCCAGGTCATTGCCACACGTGAAGGAGAGCAATGTTGTCCTCTCCTGTTTGTTCTGATGGGCAGCCCACAGCTCTGCCTAGCACCAGATCAGCCTGGGCTGCAGAGCAAAGCGCCCGTGTGTGCCTTAACGAGGCATTCCTCTAATGCGTGCTCTGCTGTCTGGAGCGCTGGGGCAGGATTCGTTTCACTGCGTGCTGGTGTGCCTAGGCTATAGATGCTGCCACCTGAGCTGGGCAACTTGGACTCCCTTTATAATCAGTGGAGAAGTCATTGACTCCAGGTGAGTTCAGAGCGTGATGGATCTTACGCTACAAGAGGCACCTAGTTCTGCCTGGGTGAACGAATCACTCTTAAGCCTGCTTTGCACCACTGAATGTAAAAGGAGCCCCAAGGGGCCACTTTGAAGAGAGGCGTGTCTAATGGAGATGTCCAGAATTAGGTGAGATGAGTCCAGCTGTGATGAGTAAAAGACCTGTTTTGTCTTCTTTGGTTTTAATTCCATTCTTCTGTTCAGCCTGGTCATCAGTCTCTCCATCTTTCTCCTTCCTCTTCCACCTCTCTTCATTGTGCACTTCATTGTTGCTTCACAGCCTATTTCAGAGCACGGTTTCCTAGTGAAGCATACTAAGAACGAGAAAATTTCCTCTAGAGGGTGGGGAGAAGTTCTTGGGGCACAGGAGAGTAAGGAACATGGATACGATACAGAATTTACTGATCTTGACTGCATTTCCTTGAAATAGCCCATCAGATTGACAGCCAAAGTGTTTAGCCCAGTTATATACACAGAAATGGGAGCATGAACACAAAGACCCCTAGGGCGCTTGGTATCTTTGCAGCCCTAGGGAGGAACGATCTTTGGTCACGCTCCAGAAACCTAGGGTTTTTTCTTTTTGTTTCCAGTCTGAGGCAGCAGTGAGCAGCCTGAGAGGAGATTGGCCCCCTCTCTAATGTGGGAGGAAACCATATATGAAGATTGGAATAAGATCCTTAGATACGGAGGAGTTGAGCATAGCTTGAAAAACACAGTACTTAAGAGTAAAGAAAAGGAAGCCACCTGCGGTGCAGAAAGAGGCAGTAAGGCAAAAGAAGGATAAATGTTTGTTATAACTGCTTTCATTTTGAAAGCAAGAAAATTGCACAAGTCAGGCTGCACAAGGAACATCTATTGCTCCTGGCGTGCAGCTTCAGTCGATTGGGAGACATTTCTCAAGGTGTGCTGATGGCATCAATGTCACTGATGCACAGAAAAAGCCATTGTCATTTCAGTCGCATTTTGGGAGGTGATAGGTTGCAAGTGCAAAGACGGTTTTCAAGGTTTCTGACAGTACTGTGCCATCTCACTGAAAACTGCTTAAAAGCTACAGAGAATGTAGGAGATTGGTGTCACCTTAGTTAAGGGAACCATAAATAAATGCTAAGCAGATGGGTGCTGTTTCCCCTTCTTTGTGCTTTAAGCTTTATTATCTTGTGCTTCTAACACCTCCCTGTCTCTTGCCCCACAGCTGACAACGAGAACAATATTGCCTCTAGCCAGCCCAGATCACCTCTAGCTGTTGTTGAAGAAAAGTGGAAACCGCAACTCCAAAGAAATAACGCCAACAATAGTACGTAGCAGCGTTTGCTCTTCTGTCCCAGGCTTACCTGTCCGCTTTGAGCAAGTGACTGTCTGAGAGGGTGCGGCAGTGATGGGCATTGCACGAGGCCCTTGTCCTCACTTAACTGCACTTGATTTCATCCGTAATTCATGTACTACCTTGCAGAGCAGAGCACCCATTCCCATTACAGGAGCGCTCATATGCAAAAAGTACTGGGAACCCTGGGGAGGTGGTAGGAAAGGTTTGTAAGGAAGATGCATTTGGGAACTCCTGGAAAAAGTTAACTTCTGATCCAAGGTCAGACTTCCCAGCCTGGGGTTAAAAAATGAATCCAGTCATCATGGTGTGACATAGGCATAACCTGTCACTCCCCATGCTTTATGCCCAGCTCGTCCTGTGAGCTTGTGCTTCACCACAGGAAAAGGTAATCAGGAAAGCAGTTCCAAAGCACTTGAGCTGAGCAGCCTGGGGGAAAGGTGATACAAAAACATGGTGCTTTTGTGTTCTGGTATGGCCAAAAATGACATTCACATTGCCCAAAATCAGCCCCAAAAAGTGGGGTTGCTGGAGTTCAGAGGAAGAAATGGAAACTTTGCCTTCAGCACTGCTTGAGATGGTGAAGGAAGCAATTCCTCTTAAAATAACTGTCTCAAAGAAAAGGCTCAAATCACAAAAATGGAAAGACGTCCAGCTTTCCAGCTGGGCTAAGCTGTGACCACCAGCCCGTAGACATGGATAGCGAAGGGCACACATGATTGTAACTTAACTAGGCAGTTCCTCAGTGAACACCACAGAGATGCCGTTGGTTAAGGCACTGGATTGAGAGTAGATGGTGTGTGCTTTGTCTCAGTCCCCACAACAGGGAAAGCACACAGAGAAGTTCCTTGCTGCTCTAAGCAAGAGCAAGGCCTGTCCCTGGAGGTTCTTCTGTCCAGAAACCCTTCAGGGAAGAAATCCAGGGTTGGAGATGTCTCTGCCATCATCTGGCCATGTTCCACCTTGTTGGGTCTCTCTCAGAATTGTTTTGTGACTTCCTCCCCTCTCCCGTTGCAGAGGAGCGATTCTCATCTGGTGCTTTCTCTCCCTCCTTCTATTTCACTGCAGCATCCGCGAGCGGTTCGGTAGGGAACAGCGCGATCCCAGAGAAGGAGCGGCAGAACATTGCCGAGAGGCTCCTGAGGGTGATGTGCACTGACCTTGGGGCTCTGAGTGTGGTGAGCGGGAAGGAATTCATCAAGCTAGCACAGACCCTGGTGGATAGCGGAGCTCGCTATGGTGCCTTCTCTGTCACCGAAATCCTTGGCAATTTCAACACACTGGCTCTGAAGCATTTGCCTCGGATGTACAACCAAGTGAAGGTGAAAGTCACCTGCGCCCTGGGCAGCAACGCATGCCTTGGCATCGGTGTCACTTGCCACTCTCAGAGCATCGGCCCCGATTCTTGCTACATCCTGACAGCTTATCAGGTGGAAGGCAACCACATCAAGAGTTACGTCCTGGGAATTAAGGGAGTAGACATTCGAGATAATGGTGATTTTATCCACCACTGGGTACAGAACGTGCTCTCAGAGTTTGTGATGTCAGAGATCAGGACGGTGTATGTCACAGACTGCAAAGTCAATTCCTCTGCGTTCTCCAAGGCAGGCATGTGCTTGCGTTGTTCGGCCTGTGCCTTGAACTCAGTAGTGCAGAGTGTGCTGAACAAGCGAACACTACAGGCTCGCAATATGCACGAAGTGATCGAGCTCCTGAATGTCTGTGAAGATCTGGCAGGATCCACAGGCCTCTCGAAGGAGACCTTTGGCTCCCTGGAAGAGACCTCTCCCCCGCCCTGCTGGAACTCGGTCACCGACTCCCTCCTGCTCGTCCACGAGCGCTACGAGCAGATCTGCGAGTTCTACAGCAGGGCCAAGAAGATGAACCTCATCCAAAACCTGAACAAGCACCTGCTCAGCAACCTGGCGGCCATTTTGGCTCCGGTGAAACAGGCGGTGATTGAGTTGAGCAATGAGAGCCGGCCCACCTTGCAGCTGGTACTGCCCACCTATGTCAAACTGGAGAAACTGTTCACTTCCAAAGCTAACGATGCTGGCGTAGTCAGCAAACTCTGCCACCTCTTCTTGGAGGCGCTGAAGGAAAACTTCAAAGTTCATTCAGCACACAAGGTAGCCATGATCTTAGACCCTCAGCAGAAGCTGCGGCCCGTCCCACCATACCAGCACGAAGAGATCATTGGCAAGGTCTGTGAGTTGATCAACGAGGTGAAAGAGTCCTGGGCAGAAGAAACAGAATTTGAACCTTCAACCAAGAAGCCTCGGGCAGCAGGGGAAGCCACAGCAGCTCAGGAAGAAGATTGGTTCGGGAAAAATGAAGTCTATGATTATTTGCAAGAACCTCTCTTCCAGGCCACCCCTGACCTCTTTCAGTACTGGTCATGTGTTACCCAAAAGCATACAAAACTAGCCAAGCTAGCCTTTTGGCTCTTAGCAGTGCCCGCTGTTGGTGCCAGAAGCGAATGTGTAAATATGTGTGAGCAGGCTCTCTTAATCAAAAGGAGACGGCTACTCAGTCCAGAAGACATGAACAAACTCATGTTTTTGAAGTCCAACATGCTTTAAGACTGTCTTTTAATTAAAACAAAACTTTAAAACACTGTTCCAAACAAAGAAAAAGAATTTTAAGTTCTAAACACTGTGGACCTCATTATGAATGCCCCTGGAAACCATGTGCTTTTTTATATATATATAAAAATATAAATATATATAAAATTAAGTTTGAAAGGAAAGCTGAGCACGTGAGAGAGACAGCCCTCTGCCAGGAACGTGCTCCTTTCCATAGATAGTGTGTGGACTTGACAGACTTTCTAATGTTTTCAAGTGGGCAGACCAATGGGAGGCTGATGTTCTAAAGTCTTCAGGCAGCTGAGATCTAAAGTGACTTGAAGTTTCTTTTGTTTCTCCTCCACCCCACCTTTCCTCTTGTCCCCTGGGCCATCTTGCCATGGATAATCAGACTACATTGAACAGACCAGTTCTGCACTGGACTTTGCTCCTTTGAATAACTGTACACCTTGAGGGCATTTGTCTGCAGCCTTCTTGACATACGGTGCATGTTATCAGGGCAGCTGTGTTTTATGAACACCAGTATCTTTAGAAATCAGGAAGGGAGACTTTAAGGCATTTTTTTAATTTTATTTTTAACTTTTTCATATACGTTTTTTCCAAAAAACAAAAGTTACTCTTCTGTCTCCACTCCCAGTTTTGAGTTTAACATGTTAGCTAGTGATATAAGTTTGATTTAAAACTAAGAGAAATGGTTCATGGCAGAAAATGTCTGTAATTGTTACGTTTCTTGGATTTATTTTTTTACAGCATAACTTCTTTTCTGAATTCCCAGTGCTAATTAGCTTCTCTCTGAATTTTGTACATCAGGGCTTCTCAAACTTGTTCTAGAGTAGCCCATTTGTGATGAAATAATACCCTCATGGGCACCACAGCAGTTGCTTATATGGCAAAGCTAGAAACCAGGAAAAGCACGCAAGCGGTGACAGCACAGGTGTCTGTGGGCCACCAGCAAGCTTCCCAGGGTCTGCCAGCTGCCATTGAGAACCCTTGTACCTAAACTTTTTGTAAAAAAGTTCCTCAGTACCCACACTCAAAATAACCTTCCCAAGGCCAAGGACAAACCAAGGTGTATGATTTTTCAGGGGAACAAAGATCATCAGTTTTGTCAAACTGGGGTTTGAAGGAAGCTTAGAGAAGTGCATGGGCTCAAAGATCCTTCTGAATGTAAGTGCTCCTGATTGAGTGCAAAGAATATCTTCCCATTTTATTTGGAATGGTTTCCTCTAGTAGCACGAATGTCTTTTTAATACCTACAGTGCATTACACTACTTGTTACGTTGCTGAATCGTTCTGGCTAGGAAGGCCACGGGCCCTTAAACGTTCACGCTTACTGGCTCACCCCAAATCCAATTAGAGATCATCATAACGCAAAAGCATCTCAGTCACTCTGCTGTCCACCAAGGCCAGTGCTCTGCTGTGTCCAGTGCCCGTAGGCCTGGTTCATGGCCTGCTGGACGGGATCTCTGCAGGCTGTCAGGTTTGGTGCCTCTTGGACAATTCCCAGCTTCTGGTGCCAAACTGTTCATTTTTCATCACTGATACTTGTATCCTGGAGGCAAATTGAAGCAAATTCTTATTTTTGAAGTAGTGTCTCCTACTTCCAGTAGCGTGCTCGGGAGCTGCGGTCACGGTGGCAGCAGAGCAGCATCAGAGGTTCGGGAGGATGGACGCGCTCAGCTCCAAGCAGGCAGGCTGGAGGCTGAAGCCCTTCAACAGCGCAGGGATGTTTTCTGGTTGCTGGCGGTGCAGTGGTGAGACTGGGGGCCCTCTTTGAAGTGCTGCTGTTGAACAGACGTTAAACCAAGATCCCACCTGCCCATCTCTGGTTGTAATGGAAGTTGCAAATCCCAAGACATGAGAAGTGGCAGACCCAGTCTCTCAGGCTTTGTTTGCAGATGCTTTGAACCTGACAGGCACTAACTGACAGCTTCACTGCCATGGGGCTCAGGCAGGGGAGCAGTTTGCATGCTAGAGACCTTCCCTAGGTCAAGGTCACTGAGGGTAGCTCTTGGCACCCAGCTGTCTTGCCCTTTTCAGCCTGGAAACAGGACCTACTGTTAGCATGAGTCTAGCATTTCAGTTGACCTCTCAGCACTGTTACTGGCATCAGGGCAAAACTAGTCTCCTAAATGTAAGTTTTGCATATGGATATCTTAAAAGACACAGTCTGCGACCCCACTGGCAGCGGCAGGGGTAGCAGCCCTTGAAGATGAGCTGCCAAGGCAGAGGCACTTGGACATCTTATTTCTCTGGCAGTGGCTTTTGCAAATGGAGGTGTTGGTTGTAGGGCCAACTTTTCTTCTTGCTGGTTTTATTTTCTCCTGTACAAATCCTGCCTGCCCAGCCACCAGCTGGGGCCATGGTAACACATCTCTTTGCACTTGCAGCGCAGGAGAAACCTCTAACACACAATAAGTCTCAAATACACGCAAAAAGCCCAAGTGAGATGTGTGCCGATTGCAAAGCATTTGTGCTGTGCTGCTGTTCCCACTGAAAAGCACAAGGTATCCTGCGGCAAGAAAACTTGGCTGGAGGATGAATCCAAAGCAAGATTAGCGTTTGAGGCTGCAGAGTGTGTACCATGCAGCTCAGCTGGTGGGCAGAACTGGGGACAGGATTTGTAGTTCTTTATCCTAATGGCACATTACACCTTTTTGCTTGGTTCACCTGAGACCCCGAGAGCCACTCACAGGCTCTTTGATGCTCAGGTGAATGTGCAAAATCCTTGCATTCCTGTGAAAAGAAAGCTCCAAACCCTAACACTCCTTTGCTAAGGGACAGGCTGATAACTTCTGTGGGATTTGCCAGCTCGGGCTCATCGTGTCATCTGTCTGCAAGACATTAAGGGTGGGGAAGCGGACAAAGCAGAATCAGCACAGGTTTAAAGCCCTGGAATTGAGAATGAGGTAGAATTGCAATCATTTCTGCAACCGTTTGATACCAGGCTGTGCACATGGTATCACACAGCCAGGTCATGCAAACGGAAAGACCACAGCCACCCTTAATTCCCAGCCCATCCCCCCTTCCCCTTTTTACAGTGTGATTTTGCCATCAAATCTGGAGCTTTCTTGCTGTGATGACCAAAGAGAGGGAGTGACTGGCCCTCTCCCCCGTCCCAGTAACTGTCACCTCCAAGGCAACTTTGGTTATAGTTGCACTAATGGTGGATGTTAAGCAAACATGCAGCTTTGTCTGGTAGGTGAGATTCTCCCAAAGACTTAAAAACTCAACTTAGCAGCTGAAAAAGCAAAATAAAACCTAAAGCCCTAAAATGAAGCCATCTTGAAAGTCGGTGAGAAGAGGAGCTGGTTGGCCAGCCCCCTTCTCCAGCAAGTCAGTGGAAGAAGCCACAGCTTTTCATGAGTCTTAAACGTGGTTACAAGGTGTTCTGCTCAGAGGAGCTCTTCATGCTCTGTCTTCTCACAGGCTGGCTTTTGTCTGAGGTACTTATGCTTCATTAAAAGGAGAGAAGCTCATCTGGAGCACATGTATTTACCTTAAATGCCAAGCTTTTACTCCTATTTCTCCTTCTCTCTTCAAGACTTGGATTTGCATTCTAGGGAGCGTAGATGCTTTACACAGGTCTGAATTTTGGAAGCTCTTAATTTGCCAGGTTACTAGGATCGGCCCAGTGGTATGGAGCAGTACTTGTGCTTAAGGAGCACTTCCCATCCTGTGGTGGGAGACCGGAGAGAAAAGGGTCTCTTAGTTTGGCCAGAGCTGTCATGAGGTTCTGCTCCCTTGGAGCTGGGGGGAGAAGTCCTCGGAACTGGGATCATCCTCTGGTAGGTCATACTGGGAATTGGCCGCCTTCTTGTTTCCTTCCTTTACTCACACTTGAGCAATGTGTTGGGATACAGAAATGGTGTGTGTGTCCTCCAGACGTTCATTTGTTTTTGCTGCTTACTCTGTGCCTGACCTTGCAGACTTCCAACTTCACGGTTTGCTTTGGGAAGGGTTATGAACTTCAGGTGGGGAGAAAGCACCAACAGAAGATGAACTGTAAGGAAGGGCCTTCCAGTCCTGTCTGAAGATCCTTGTTACTAGAAAACTGGGAAAGTGGGATACAAAGGCAGAGCTCTTCAAAACAGAAGGTTGTTGCTGTGTGAGTACGGCAGCCAGAGGGTCAGTGGAGAACGTGGAGCCCAATTTGTCTCCTGTCTGTCTCTTCTCCCCGTGTCTCTTGCAGTAGGCAGCAGTTGTGTTCTGGCTTGCAAGGTGGGCTCGGTGTCTTGTGCCTGGGTCAGCTTCAGATGGAAGTAAGCTTTTCCTTTTGTCAAAGCTACATGTCTGTTCTAAGAAGACTGATTTGGTTGTATTTGAACTAGTGCAATCTGGAAAACTTTCTGTGAAAGCCGACTGCGGGCTCAGGTTTTGTCTAATTCAGTTGTCCTTTAATTGCTGGTTAAACCAGTTTAACTTTGAGCTAAATTGGTTTAAGCATCCACATGAACCACCTGCACTGGTTTAACTGCGCTTGCTGGGTGTTCTCCCCTGCTGATCAGAGAATACGTCCAGAAGCAGCTCAGGGAGTCAGGACCCTTACGTGAATTTTGCAAATGAAGTTGTGGCAGATACTCTCGAAGCTTGGGAATAACTGAAAATAGAGGGGGGACACTTCTGGAAGTTGCTTGAGCTCTGAATTGTGGTATCAGAGTTAATACAGTACTCAGTGAGATGTCTCAGGTTGGTTGGTTTGTTTTTCTCCAACTGCTTGCAATAACGTGGAAGGTTTAGCGTGAGAAGAAATTACCACGTGCGTTCATATTGGTGGATGAGTCCGCTCAGCCTTACCCAGTCTGAGGGACCGTTTCCACCTTCTGGATCCCGCAGTAGGCAAGCCAGCCCTCGTGTTGCACAGGAGCAGGGTGACTGAGACATTGTGCTACTCGGAGAATGCTGTGAGCATTTCTAGACAGCACCAGGTTACTTGAGAAATCAAAAGACAGTGAAAGAGCAGCCAAAAAGTTATTCAAAGGCTGGGAGTGCTGCTTTGTACTGAGGAAGGACTCAGATCTCTAATGGCATCTCTCTGGCTACGGGAGGTGGCGAGGACTCCTGTGAGCATCCAGAGGGAGCGCACGCAGGAGGGGACAGGTTGTTCCCTATGGAATAATTAAGAGTAATGGGATGAAAATGAACAAAAAGACACTAAGGCAGATTCTGGGAAACCTTTTCAGGGGGGAGAAATCCGTTCATCTGGGGGGAGTCAACGGGAATGTTTTTTGAGCCCTATCATTTCAAACAAGGCTGTACAGCTACGTGGAGCAGACTCCATAAGGCACGAGGCTGCTTTGGACCTTGCCGAGAGAAAAGAGGCTGGATGTAGAGGTGGGAAACGATTGCCTGCCTGTTGAGTCCAGTCCTGCCCGATAGGTCCAGGAGGGTTCACAGAGCATCTTCCTCTGCATCCTCCCGCTCACCACCGGCACCAAGCCCTTCCCAGCACTCCAGTGTATACGTTAGCCCGGTTTCGTAAAGGAGGGAGGTAGCTGACCAGCAGAAGGGGCAGAGGAGAAAACACC